TCGATTTCTCTGAGACATCGGGTACCACAATTACCTTTTCTGGCAAAGGGTAGGTTGGTGATAAATGTTAAAAAGCCCAAAACTATGCTCAAAAGTAATAATTTCTAATGCACAATAAAACAGAATTGGGGAAAAAAGTATTTTAACAGCATCTAAACAATATAAAAGAGGCTGAAGACTGAACAGTTTTGATACAGGTAACCAAAGCCACATAGTAAATTCAATAATCAAACCACAGCAGCTGCAAAATGTTCCCTTCACCCTTTAACTGAATTATATCACTTCATGTCTGATATTGCATCTTTTGCACTATCACTTCACTACAAAAGAATGAAAAAATTTAATGAAAAATTTTGTTACCTTTTACAGACTAACTTACACTCTATATTTACTTATTTAGACACATTTATTAGACACAGATGTATGTACCTAGTTTAGCTGTCGCTGTGTCTATGTATTGTTTGCATGTGTAAAGGCATAAAATGATAGGGTGAAAGTCAAACCGTGTGTCACCAGCTTTCCACTGCATGTAAAAGGGAAGATCGACTACTGTTCCATAGTTCAATTACACTTCAACAGCTACCCATAACCACTTCTAGTACGTAACTCCAAACCCAAAACGATCACTATTCTCAAAACAGCTTGGGGACCAGCTTAGAAAAGCTAGTCGGCTGCTGCTTAGTACCGGAAATCCTGAACTCCTCTTCAGAAACTACGTATTTTGAAGTAATAAAACTTTTGAGTTTCGTACACCATAGGAACAAGAATCTGAGTGATTAAGGTGCATAGATTTCAGTGCCAACCAGGAAGGCAGAACATAATGTCAGGGTCGTATCCTCCAGCAAAGAGCTATCAAGCCTCTTGTGAAAAAGACATGGCAAATTTCTTCAGTTTTGGGGCAAATACAGTAAGAAAACCAGAAGCCGTGTAGGACAGAGAAATTAAGCCAGAGGATGAATTCCACTACACTACGTGCTTCACACTAATATTCTGCCTGGACTCTTCTACACCGTGATGTGACACTATAAGGTATTTCACAGAAACATTGGCATAACTCTGTCTGGCTCAACTATGAGCTGGATAAAGGGAACTAATTAAGGTGGCTTATGGTCTTCACCAAAAAAAGCGTTAGAAAAAAAAATACCACCACCCCACAAACCAGATCTACATGGACTAGCTGGGGAAGTGCGAAAAAGGATCAAGCAGCAACATCAATACCTTAGCAAAAATTGCCACACAATTTGCAACATTGCTATAAAGCTCAGGCTGCATTAAGTGCAATTAACTGCATCCTCACACAAAAGTTCAAGCTTCCTCGACTTTTAGAACAGACACAACATTAAGTATTAACTCAGGGAGTGTACAGTGTCTTATATGCTATTAACTCATGCGATAGCTTACTGAGTACCCTGTTTCCTTTACAGGCAAATCCTAAGTAGTTCTCAACCTTTTATTCTTGTTAAGCCCTGTCCCCTCCTACTGTGTTTATTTAATTTTTTTTCCTCCTTTCTCCCTTCCTCTGTGAATTTTGGGAATAAAGTCAAATCTCCCTTTTACTACTACTACGGGCTATTGACCACAACATGTCTATATTTTTCTCCGCCTCTTCCCCTCACTCTTGGTTTGATGGCTCAGTTTTGTATGTCATCTCATTTTATCTCCTGAATTTCCAGAATAGTGTTTTTCTTTACTCCCCCTTCCTCTTTCCATTCTATGTCTTCTCCTCATCTATTGCCAGCAGCTTCCTGGTGCTTCTGGCGAGACCTTTGTACGAATACTCTACCGACACTGTCAGCTGACTGCCTGTTGCCACAGAGTCTGCAGGGAGCAGCAACCTGCAGCAGCTTCCAGAACAAAAGAAATAGCAAAAATATTACTAGGAAAGAAAGAGAGAGGAAGAAAATCCAAATTAATTAGCCATGAGAGATTAGCTGAAACCCTTCCTCAGATCAACCAGGGTTTGAAGCAACTCTGGAGAAAGGAGGGAAGGGTGGATTGTGGGATCTAAACTCCCCAGGTAATTTGGAATTGTAGGGTAGACAACAGTTTGGGGAAAACTGACGGCTATGGATAAAAGATGGTTGGAAGTTTGCTTGGTTTTCTGTTTAAATCCAGGTCAGAATAATATTAAGAGCAAATCACAAAATATATCTATTCTGTATGGAGGGAATAAAATGTTATATGACGTACTTTATTAAACACACAACATGGCAAGTATCAAACTTTCATATTGGCAAACTCCTGAAACAGGGAATATTGCCTACCTTCCAATGTCTCAAATAGCAGAAGATACAGATAAAAGTGCTGAAGAATGCCTACATGGATAATCCTGTTTCATCTAGGAGATGTTGCTTACCTTCAGAATGCCAGCTACTGTGGCAATCTGAATTCAAAGTTATGTGCAAGGTGCATCCAACAGAGAAACTTTTTTTTTTAAACCTAGGACCAACTGTGGCTTGAGGGAAATAATGAGCACTTTGAGAACATACTGCTGGTGAAAATACACCAACATCAGACCCAAAACAGTCTGAAACACGCTCTCCTTACAGACACTGTAACCCCTGAGCTCTGTCAGAGCAAGGTGGACTTTGACAGTGGTTCCAGTGGAACCTGAGGAAGATAGATGACTGCACAATGTTAATTGTGTAGCTTGAGGGCAAGTGTTGGACACTTAGAGAAGAAAACATGCAAATGCTTTAGTTAACATTAAACTGAGATTGCCATGGCTGCTCTGCCTTAAAAGGAAAAAATGCCCATACCAGTGGAGAGCACTAAGAGGAAAGGGCACGCATCACAAAACTCTGCCAGGCAACATCATGGTGACAAACAGCTATCATTCAGGAAAAAACAAGCTTTTCTCTTCTTGAAAACGAATACCACAAAAAGTATTCTTGCCATCCACGACAATTTCTTGCTTAAAGCAAACTGATGACATAAACCAAACTTGGAATATCTGACCTATCTTCACCCACAATGAAACATCCCTCCCCTGGGAAAAAAATGCAAGAACTTTTGGTGACTACCACAAAGAAGTCACCATCACCTTGTTGACTACATAACTCCATAGTGATCAATCTCTTACAAGTAACACCCATGTGTTATAAACATCAGAAACTTGAGAAACCAGATCCTCTTGTATTTCCATCTCCCCTAGACTCAGTGTGGTATTTACTGCAGAGCAGTGAAGAACTGCAATACCATTTCAGAGAGGATACTGGCACTTTAAGTATTGGTTTTTTTCCAATTTGGCACAAAATGCAAAACATTTGAAATCCTGCACAAACAGAAAGTGGTGTTCTCCACCTAATTCTGGGATAGTCAAACTTATGGGAATAGTCTACATCCAAAGCAGAGTTCCCACAGCCGATGCTACATTTCCTGGAGCTGTGAGAACTACACAATGGCAAGTCAACCACTACCCTTCCTGGCCCACAGGACTCCTTGGTGAACAGTGATCATGAAGTCCACCAAGCATATTCTCCACTGCTGACATCTACCTCTGCCATTAATACAGTGGGGCTGGTTTGGGGTTTGGTTTGGGTTTCTGCTGGCGGGTTTTTTGTTGTTGTTGTTAAGCCAAGGCCCTCTGACTCATCAGAATGAGAAGGGGAAGAAAAGCCAATTTGGGGTGAGATATTAGAGGAAAAAAGAATGTACAGTTCACAGACTACTCTCTATCACTGTTCAGGCTTGTTGCAAAGGTAGCTCTTAATCAGACTTCAGACAGGTGAGTGGAAGAAAGAACTTGCTTTTGACAAATAATCTAGATGCACATACCCTGCAGTGGTTTTTTTCTCCTTCCAAACAGAACTGGCATTACTGATGTTCTGCTAATGCTATGTTCCTCAAGTAGCTATGCTTGCTTTCATGGACATTCCATTTTATACCGTCTATAGCATGTTTTCCACACATGCACCTCTTTTCATCAAATACAACTTATTGTTAATCCTACACACTACTAGTGGACAGTAAAAGAGTAACTTCAGTCCTCCCTTCTACTGAAGACACTTATGTAAAATGCCTCAAAATCTAGAATAATTTCAATACATATCAGCTGGAACAAGATTTTCTCATAAGTACTCTAATCAGCAGTTAATTATTTGTGTGTACCTATTAAAATATATACCCATGGTATGGCTATCTATATCTTCTCATTTGTTACATACACCCACACATATATATTATACACTAGCTTCATCAACAGAACAGGCTACTCAGAACACCATTATGGAAAATATTTGTAACAAATCTTTGCTCCAGACCTGATTCTTCCATCATCTTGGCACTGAAGGCTGGAAAATTTTGTCTTGATATGCTGAAGTTTGTACGTATAGCAAACCAGAGAATTCAATTCAACTTCTGATTTAAAAAACAAGTTACATTCAGCTTTTTGTGTATCAAACCTGAATATGTATTACAGAGGTAGGACTAATACTGTCAATTTTTGCTAAACTGAAGTCATGCTCAAAACCTGAACATCTACAGAGTCTGCTGAAAGTGACAGACTGCACTTCCATTGAAAACAGGCATTTAATTTGTTAAGAAGAGATTAACAACGATAATGTTCTTAGACAGCAGCATCTGAGCACACACTTATTACAGTATATTCATCCAAACCCAACATTTATCCCTAAATCATAATAGCCCTGCATCTATGTGTAGCTTAACACTGTCTTGAAATAAAACTAGGGTAATACATCATGCAGAAAATAACTTACACACTCATTGTCTAAATAAAAAACATTTTAAATTGTGTAACAGGTTACAGTAAAACGCAGTAGGTTTCTGTAGAAAACGGACATCTCCTTCCTACAAAGATTCAAGTAGCCTCTAAGCTCCACCACAACATATAAACACATACTTTTTTGTAGCAAAAAACACACAGTGTTCTATGTAATTTCTAAAAAAAATCACTCGACACCAAACTGAAAAAGGAAATGTGTTTCACGGGCACAGTCATACTAGTGGAAAAATCATTACTTGATATTCAGATTACTTACAGATTTGTTGTCCAGCCTGCAAGATCTCCGCTGTCCATAATGTGATTTCCATCCAGGAGCCCGGGGGGGCTGCTAGAGAAGGCAGGTGTTGGAGACTGGGAAGAAAGAGAATCCATGCTCCCAGTTGGGGTGTCTTCCTTGGGAGAGCTGTGACTGTCACCTAAAAAAGAGGGCACAAGTCAGAAGGACACTAAAAGGATCTTTTCATGAGCCAGAGAAGCTGCTTTGGTAACAATGTCCTAAAATACGTATGAGAAGAAACCTTACTGTCCCATCTTCACAGGGTATTTTTGGAGGACAAGCAGTCCCCCAGCTTTTCCTCACAAGGCACCATGGCACAATTTCCCCCATCACTATCACCAGGTTATCTTCACAACACAATGTATTCCCAGTCTCCTTTTCAACATATGTTTTAATGTGGATGAAATGCTAACTCATTTCATTCATTAATTGTGGGATTATTTCTAGAGAAATGCATCGCTTCAGATAACAAAATAGTTTAGGCCATACACATTTGCACAACTGCCTAAAAACTGTCTCTCAAAATAATTTGATACACATTGTAGGAAATTAATGCTCTCAAGTACCATAAGCACAATCCTATCAGACATCTCCTGCTTATTTTGACCTTTCTAAATTTCATTGTTTCGTGTTCAACAAACATGCAATACCCAAGAATGTTACCTTTATTACTCCTTTTTAATGGTGTTACTTTTCAGAGAACGCACTGTATTCTGGTCTACTATTTGTTTTCATAGGCTACTCAGAATATCACTTGGGAAGCAACACATTCAGATATGATTGCTTAAGGAAACATTAAAGGATCACCATTCCTATCCCATGAACAGTAAGAAAAAGTTACCGATGTGTCACAGCACTCACGGCAAACCACACTGACACATCTAGCCAAACAGCACACTCTTCACTGAAAAACTAACCTTCACCCACACAGCTTTTCCTTTTTATTTAAGCAACAGCCATATAATTTATAAATGCTGAAGGAGGTGTATAAAATAAGAACAATTGCAAACACTGAAGTGTTCAGCACAGCTAAGCCCACAGTCTCAAATGAGGCCTGTGGCTGTTTTCAGAATATGAATATTTAACAGTAATAAGAGTAATTTCCAGCCACCCTTTACAAGGCTCCCTGTATCCTTTCCTTTCCTCCTCAATCCATCCTGCTCCCACTGGCACTCATGAACGCGGCCCACAGCCCTGCCAAATAACATCACAAAAGTCTCTCTAGAGTGAATTTGATACTGCTGATTCCAGAGTCTTGGTAAAAGAGTTTTGCTCCTTCAGGGCCAAAAGTGTTGTGGAAAAAATGAATAGCCAAATCTAACATAGCATCGCAATATTATGATCAAAAACTGTTAAATATTCTCCTTGCTTGACAAGTTGTATCTCCTATATACAGTATTGTACAAGACAAAGTCCTGTACAATATTCCTTTCTAATTCTAAATGAATTCACATCTGCACAGCTAACAACTGAGCTTAATTCTGCTCCATCAAGCTAAGCAGTACTGTTGCAATCGTTTATCTTTTTTTTTTTTACTTAAAAATGCAACAATGAAACGCTGACAATGAAAAAACACCTTCAGCCAATAAAATCCTTCTCAACTTCATTATTGCATCAAGCAGTTCAATTCCTTCTGCTTTGATAGCAAAGCACTTGCCCTCTTCCCCAACCATCTCATCCTCAGCCCCTCCCAGCAACTCTCGGATTGCAACTTCCCCAGAGGTTAAAATGGCATACAACTAAAAACACTGAAATTATAAAAGTGATCATCTAGAAATGTCTCCCTAAAGCAGCTGCTAATTTAAGGATCTAAATTAGCCCATAGTAACAAAGCGTGATAAGCTCTGAGGAGGAGAACGTTAACCTGGGAAAGTGAGTCATGCGCACACTCCAGCCCAATCCTGCTCACCTCGCAACTCCTTGCTGTTCCCAGGCCATGGGGCTGCCACTCAGGTTTATAGGACATGCCATGAGAACCATAGGAGTTGTCAGGTAAAAACTAATTGTTAACACATCTCGTTTGTAGATGTGTGTGTCAATGATAAACATCTGAGAGATTAGACAGTAATACTGCAATTTTACTTTATAAAGAAAGCAAATTCCTTAAAACTGTATTGACTTAAGTCCTTAAATGAATTAAAATTCATCATATTGCTACTTTTAAAAGAAATTATTAATGCAACCCAGATTATCAAGCTACATACACCATATTAGAAGGCCACATTTACCTCTACCATTCACTTAACATTACTAAAACAGCAGTAGAAAGGGATATATTAATCTGTTCTTCAATATTATGAGTATGACCTACTCTCCACACCTCCCTACAGAAAGCAAAGGTTTTTCTGTTGAACTGTTCGTCAGAGCACATAGAAAATGTAAAAAAAATACTAAAAACTTCAGTCACGCACTGTAGAGTCTACACTGGAGACTGCAGTGTACAGGCAATTGCATTTGACATTGTCATAAATGAAACCGTGTGTTAAATCTTTCCTCAAATTTTACTTCTTCCCCTTCCTTCCTGAGCTAGTGTTTTCTCACAGTCAATACTGCATTGCATTCTCAAGAATAAGATTTGGTTTTGAACATTAAAAACAAATCAAATATTTAAACAGGAAAACACCTGCTGAATTCTACAGGATTCTGTGAACACCCTCTAAAAACGCGTTCAAAGATACTTTACATTTCTGATCTTTCCAGTTACCTATTTTTGTAAAGTAAAGCAATACCTTTATTCAGGACAAGACAATTCTGTATAACTGCAGAAGCAGATGACTAATGATCATCTAGCACGTTTTCATGATTAAAAACAATATATACTCAAAACTGAAGTCCTTGAAATGTAGTTTCATTGTTCCAATTTCAACAGTACAAAGATCATAGAATCATAGAACGGTTAGGGTTGGAAGGGACCTTAAAGATCATCTAGTTCCACCCCCCCTGCCATGGGCAGGGACACCTTCCACTAGACCAGGTTGCTCAAAGCCACATCCAGTCTGGCCTTGAAGACATCCAGGGATGGGGCATCCACAACATCTCTGGGCAACCTGTTCCAGTGCCTCACTACCCTCTCTGTGAAGAATTTCTTCCTGACATCTAATCTAAACCTCCCTGATTTCAATTTATACCCATTTCCCCTTGTCCTATCACTACAGGCCCTTGTAAAAAGTCCTCTCCCAGTACCCTTGTAGGCCCCCTTCAGATACTAGAAAGCTGTAATGAGGTCTCCTCGGAGCCTCCTCTTCTTCAGGCTGAACAAGCCCAGTTCTTGCAGCCTTTCGTCATAGGAGCGGTGCTCCAGCCCTCTGATCATCTTCATGGCCCTCCTCTGGACTCGCTCCAAGTGGTCAAGATTTTGCCCCATAAGTCAGTAACAAACAGTTCTGCTAAATTCAGAAATTATAGTAACTCTGGTACATGAGGCCATAGAATTGTATCCAGTTATCTCTATATTAAGCTTAATAGCCTGATTTTGATTAATATCCATCTCATGTTGCGCCAAACTATGTCCAAAGAGTCTTTGTCTGAAGACATCAGCAAATGATAAAGGTAATGGAGAATCTATTGGCTGGTAATTAACATACTCACTGATTAATGCATGTACCTTCACTTTGTTAGGCTTTCTTTTCAGGCATGACCCATGTAATATGTATTGCTAATAATTATAGAATCTCTCAAATCCAGTTTTTATGCTGTGTGAAGGTATTTATCTCCTTTATAAGTTTAACACTAAATCTGTTACTGGAAGAGATTTTGCAGTTCTGGAATCACACATCTGTTTTATAAATACAGAATCAATAAGGTTGGAAAAGACCTATAAGATCATCCAGTCCAACAGTCAACCCAATACTACTGTACCCACTAGACCGTGTCCTCAAGCGCCACGTCTACAAGTTCCTTGCACACCTCCAGGGATGATGACTCCACCACTTCCCTGGGCAGCCTGTTCCAATGTCTGGCCACTCTCTCAGTGAAGAAGTTTTTCCTAATATCTAATCTAAACCTCCCCAGATGCAACTTGACACTAAACACCCCCAGCTCCCTCAGCCGCTCCTCACAGGGTTTGTGCTCCAGACCCCTCCCCAGTCCCGTTGCCCTTCTCTGGACACGCTCCAGCCCCTCAGTCTCTGTCTTGCAGTGAGGGGCCCCACAATGAACACATGATTCGAGGTGCAGCCTCACCAGTGCCCAGTACAGGGGGACAATCACTGCCCTGGTCCTGCTGGCCACACTATTCCTGATACAAGCCAGGATGCCATCCCAGAATTCTTTCTGAAGACAGCACATCAGACCTGAATTCATGATTTATTATTTTTTAAATCGTAGTCCACCAGTGCCATGTTGAGCACTAATTCTGCCACTTACTCCAACTCATTGATCCCGTTTGTACATCCATAGCCAGTACTTTTTTGCCACAGCTTTAAATTATTAATTTATGATTACCTGATTGCCCACTGTAACCAACAGACTTAGCAGAATCACCATTTTTAAGGATGCAGTTCTCTGTTTTGTAGCTACAGCTTCCTCTAAAATCTGTAAACTTATTTCTCAATTCAACCACACTTGTTTTGTGTGAATGGGCAGCTTAGCACATGACCACAACTCCTACGTAACTGCCATTGTCATTATTTGCAATTCCTCCTAACTTTGTCCCATGTGCAAATACGTCATCAAGGATTTGTATTTAGCTTTCTGAATACTGCTACTACGTTAACATTCCTCCAGTTTCTTCAAACTTGTTCAGCGTGCCACAAGATGTTTTAAAAATTAACATTGCCTAGACCCACAACCCTATTGCCAGAGGACTTTTTTAGGACAAGTTAAGTGGCTTCACATTACTCAAAACATTCACCTTACAACAGGCCTACCTCTGAAGATTTCTGCTTGATCCTGCCGATTCTAAATCCCACATTGATTTTCATAGCTAAGTTATTTTTAACAAGTCTTCAAAACTTGTACAGCAATCAACTTTATTGATTGCTAGCTACTTCCTCTTACACACACACACCCCTACTTCCTGTATTTTGCTTTGCGGAGCCAGTGAAGATTCTAAACTGCTAGAGATTTAAAAGCTTTTAAAGTTTTGACAAGGTTAGCTTGTTAAAGAGCGTGTTGAGGACATTGATAGAATTGAATCAG